TACCTTTCTTGTTCTTTCTGCCCCCAGCAGGAGAAGCAGAGAAGGCAGATGAATGCAGCTTAACTGATAACGGGCAGAAAACCATGCCAGGCAATCAGGAGGCAAGGTAAGAGAGTTTGGGTGAAGATTAGGGATTTGTGAGCCGTGGAAGGTTTGGAGTGAGAGGATGTGCTGGGTGTCCCGGCCAGTAGGCGTGGCACAGTTCTGCTCTTCCTCAGAATCTTAGGCTACTTTGTGAGGTTTTGGCAGAGGTGTTACCTAGGGTTTGCAGGGAGGGCTGCAGGCTCTGGAGGAGATCTGAGCATGTTAGAACCCCTTCATACCAGGGGTGAAAAGGGAGAAGTTGCAGCCGCTCGACGTGCCCTGAAGCTGCGTTTACTTACAGCCAGTCTCTGTCCTTGTCCTTACAGTCCTCGGAAGACCTGGTGGCGAAGGGGCGAGCCAGGAGCAAAGCCCGCGAGGGAAATGGGGTACGAAGTAAAGGGATTCTGGACACACTGATGGCCCAGCCCTTAGGCCTCAGTCACGTATGAGTGAAAATGTGTCCCCAAGAGCCTTGGCGCAGTGGAACCTCTCTGTAACAGGAAGCTTGTGGCCCATGGCTTTCCATGTCCAACTGTCCCAGTCTTGGGAAGCTGAACAAGGAGAGGTCATACTCGCCCCTCTGTCAAGCAGAAGACAGATCACCAGGGGATACAGGGAAGGACCAAACTCACAGACGTTACAACTTCCTGTCTCGGTTTCGGGCTCCATGCCTTACACCCAGACTGTGTCCCCGTTTTTTTCCTGGGGTGGGTTGTTATTTCTTTTCTTTTTCTTTTTGCAGCTGCCAGAAGGACATGCGGCGGGCAAACCACGAGTGGCCAAAAGCCAGCAAAGCAGGATGCAAAGGAAAGGGACTCTGGACAGAGTGGCCTCCCTGCCTTTAGGTCTCGATCATGTATTGGCCACATTTTGGGCGCGTGAGCCTTTGAGCGAGCTCCTTATAACCCGGAAATGGGTCTCTGTCCTTGATGCTGTTGCACTTGTGCACGAGTCAGGTGGCAGGTGGACAACCTGTAAGCAAGGCATGTGTCACCACCACCTTGTTTCTAAAGGCTGTAGATCTGGTTGGCGGTCTTGCGCAGCGCGGCCGCCCTGTAAGCGGGGTCCAGGCCACCTGCCAGACGTGGCTGCGGATGGCGCAGGCTCCTGTAAGCAGGGTGTGTGGTGCCTGCTATCCCGGGAGAAGGACAGCAGGTTTGGATGTGTGTAGCGTTGGACGTCCTGTAACTGGGAGACCAGGTCCACTGCCATAGCCAGCCAGTTGGAGAGGTGCCCCTGTTAGATGGTTGGGTGTGGCCTCCTTCCGCTGGCGGGAGCGAGCCGGAGCAGTCTGCAGTGCTGTGCCGCAGGGCGGGCTTGCAGACAGGAGCCGAGACTCGTGGGGTGACGGCAAACTCCTTAGACCCCAGAGCTAGACGACCTTCCTGTGGCTGGGTTTAAGTCTCTGGCCTCCTCTCCAATCCCTGTGTCCAGGTGCCGATCCTCCTTCCTGCATCTATGCCCGACACTCCACATCCGGACGGCTGGGCCGCCCTGTAAGGAGGGTGCAGGTCTCACTGTGCCTCTGCGGGCAGCTCTGTCCTTTGCCTGGCTGAGGGTCCTCCGTATAAGCAGGGCTCCGGGCCTTTCCATTTTATCTGCTGCGAGCAGTGTGGCTAGTCAGGCGGACCAGGCCCTGTAAGGAGGGTGCAAGTCCCGTGCCCCTTGTGGAGGGCGAGGTTCTGCAGAGCTGTGGACCACCCTGTAAGCAGGGTGCAGTTCTCTCACGGTGCCTTTGGTGATAGCTCTTTGATTTGGCTGGCTGAGGGCCCCGCCTGTAAGCAGGCTCTGGGCCTTTCCCTTTTGCCCCCTAAGGACAGTGTGACTAGTCAGGCGGACCAGGCCCTGTAAGGAGGGTGCCGGTCTCAGCCTTCTTGCCCTCTGGGAGCAGAGGAGGATTTTCCCATGGAAGGCTGGAGGTGAAGCGGTTTGCAGCATGGAGCTCCTTTCCAGCCTGGGAACAGTCTTTTTCCCCCTGCGAGAGTGTGGATGGCGAGAGAGAGGAGTGCCTGGGCGTGAAAGCGTTTGTTATTTTCTTTTTGTTCTTACAATCGCTGCAGCGTGCTTTGTTTTCTTCCCAGTGCTGGAAAAGGGGCGAGATGCGTCCTCGTAGCCTTCTCCTCCCACCTCCTCACCTAGGGGGTAAAGCAACGTTATAGATTTCCATGCCTTCTGGCCTTGGGGAGCATTAGGCCCCTCTCTAATACTTCTGGGCACGTGACCTCCCTGTATGTCAGGGTACAGGTCTTATGCATGCCCCCTCTTTTTGGGTGGCTAGCGTGTTGTTTTGACAACTTGGTAGCTTACATGACGAGTTCCTGCCCTCCTTGAGGGAAGGCAATGTATTCCCTACCCGAGACCCTGGAAATGAATGCCCTGCAGCCTGTAAGCAGGGTGCAGGTCCCCTTCATCCTCTGGGTCTGGTTCCACTTGCAGAGGTTGGCCAGAGAGAATAGCCACGGACTACAGGGAAGGCTGCCGGCTTCTGGAGGATACCGAGTGTGTTGGCACCCCGAGACTTGGTGACCTTCCTGTAGCTCAGGTCCAGGTCTTTGCTCCTGTGTTCTACTGCTCCGGGCAGTATTGAGACGGCCTCCCCCGGCACCCTGTAACCAGGGCTGCGCCCCTTCTGCTTCTGGTTGTGAGGGAGGAGGCCTTGTTTAGTCCTTTTGGCTCTGACTTCTGTGACAGGAGCCTGAAGTCATGGGGCTTACGTCCCCAGACATGGGGCAGCTTTGATCCCTGATCGAGACCGCATGAGGCAGCTGTCAGCTGGCATTTGGGGCTTTGCAGGTTGTCTCTGGGCTTCATGCCCCAGCAGCCAGCTGTGTCCGCCCTGTAAGCAGGGTTGCTGGTGCTTCTGGTCACCATTCATGGTGCCGCCCGAGCAGTTCTCTCCAGAGTCCTGGCCCATCGCACTCTGCTCCTGACTGGCCAGGATGTAGGCAGCAGAGCCCGCAGAGGGTGTGCCTTCCCCTCTTTCCACAGACAGAGGACTGAGTGGCCGCAGATCCAGGCAAGGGTAAAAGAGAGACAGAAGTTGGGGGCCTGCAGAAGCATCTTACATCAAGCTGACTTGCATCCCATTTCTGTTTTCTTGTTCTTTCTCCCCCAGCAGGAGAACCAAAGAAGTTAATAGACAACTAGGACTTAACTGAACGCAGAGCAGAAAACCATGCCAGGCAATCAGGAGGCAAGGTAAGAGAGTTGTGGGGAAAGACTAGGGATTTATGAGCCGTGGAAGGTTTGGAGTGGGTGGATGCGCTGGGCGCCCTGGCCAGGAGGCGAGGCGCAGTTCTGCTCTTCTTCAGAATCTTAGGCTGCTTTGTGAAGTTTTGGCAGAGGTGTTACCTAGGGATTGCAGGGAGGGCTGCAGGCCCTGGAGGAGATCTGAGCGTGTTAGAGCCCCTTCATACCAGGGGTGAAAAGGGAGAAGTTGCAGCCGCTCGACGTGCCCTCAGGCTGAGTTGACTTACAGCCAGTCTCTGTCCTTGTCCTTGCAGTCCTCGGAAGACCTGGTGGCGAAGGGGCGAGCCAGGAGCAAAGCCAGCGAGGGAAATGGGGTACAAAGGAAAGGGATTCTGGACACGCTGATGGCCCTGCCCTTAGGTCTCAGTGTTTCCTCAGTCACATATGAGCAAAAATGGGCTCCAAGTGTCTTGGTGCAGTGGGATCCCTGTAAGCAGGAAGCTTGTGGCCCATGGCTTGCCATGTCCAACTGCCCCAGTCTTGGGAAACTGAACTGTAGATGTCGTGCTCGCCCCTCTGTTGAACAGAAGACAGATCAGCAGTGCTTACAGGGAAGGACCAAACAGATGTTACAACTTCCTGTCTCGGTCCCTGGCTCCATGCCTTACACCCAGACTGTGTCCCCCTGTTTTTTTCCTGGGGTGGGTTGTTATTTCTTTTCTTTTCGTTTTTGCAGCTGCCAGAAGGACAAGCAGCGGGCAAACCACGAGAGGCCAAAAGCCAGCAAAGCGGGACGCAAAGGAAAGGGACTCTGGACAGAGTGACCTCCCTGCCTTTAGGTCTCCATCATATATTGGCCAAATTTTGGGCATGTGAGCCTTTGGGCGAGCTCTTTGTAACCTGGAAATGTGTCTCTGTCCTTGATGCTGTTGCACTTGTGC